GGGGGGGGGGGGGGCCGTTGAGAGGATGAGGCCAGTCTCTTCTCCATGGTGCCCAGCAACAGGACAAGAGGCAACGGGCACAAACTGAACCAGAGGAGGTTCCATCTGAACATGGGGAAAAACTTCTTGACTGTGAGGGTGACAGAGCACTGGAACAGGTTGCCCAGAGAGGTGGTGGACTCTCCTTCCCTGGCGATATTCAAAACCCACCTGGACGCGATCCTGGGCAATATGCTCTAGAGGACCCTGCCTGAGCAGGGAGATTGGACGAGATGATCTCCAGAGGTCCCTTCCAACCTCAACCATCCTGTGATCCTGTGATCAGGCCTACACAGTCATGGCCTGAAACATCTTTGTACACTTACATGTGGTCCACCATGTTCCACCTGTTCTGTAGGGTCTCTCATTCACTGTCCTGTGCTTTAACTAAGAGCAGGTGTCTGACAGTGTATGTCTTTGCTATCTGATGGCATCTTTTAGGAGTTGGATTTTGGCCCTTCCTTCAGGGTGCTCTTTTAGGTACTAGAGCCTGCCATAGAAATAGTCAAGCTCAGGGGTCCTTTCCCAAGGACTGATGGAAGGCTGAGCAGCTGTAAGTTCCTGAATCCTCTTTCTTGCCTTCTTAAAAATGGGTGCAACATTTTGTGTCTGGTCCCAAGGACCAGAATATGTCAGACTGGCTTAAGCAGTCTATACCTGAATCTTCCTCTACTGTCTGTAATACTTCACTCCCCCTAAACTCTTTCACTAGGAACAAGGACCTGAGAGACTGTGTACAGACCCTTGCCAGTAAAAATGATGTCAAATAAGACACTGACTACCCCAGCTTTTTCATGTCCTTCATCACTGGATTCTCTCCACCATTCAGCAGCAAGCTTACATTTTTCTTAGTCTTCCATTCCCTGCTGGTGAACCTGTAGAAACACTTCTTGTAGCTTTTCCAACCCCAGCTGAGCTTTGGCTTCCTCAGTTCTGTCCCTACATATCCAGACAGTGCTTTTGCATCTCTCTTATGTAGCTTGATTCTGCTTCCATATTCTATACTCTTCATTTTTGCATTTAAGTTCAATCTAGAGTTCCCCATTCAGCCAGTCTGGCCTCCTGCCATGCTTGCTCAACTTCTTGTACTTTGAGATGGACCGTTCTTGTGCTCGTTCTTCTCCACAGAGTTATTAGAAATTCCGGTGCCTGCTTCACATTTACCCCAGCTCAGCTCTGCTGTGGCTCATCTCTGCTTCTGAAATAAGATGTTCCATACCATTCTGCTCCTTCCCAACCACTGGGCCATAGAGCCTCAGTCCCCAGTCTCCCAAAGTGCTCTTTCATGAACACATCATATGGCATAAACTCACACTATTATCTTGCCACAGTTTGACTGCTGCAATTGAGGAAATATTTTTGTATTTTGGATACTGCCAGCAATGGTATCACTTATGTCCAGAAATGAGTAGATGTCACAGTTGTTGGATCTCTGTAGCTACATTTACCATCTGTGTCCTGAGGAACCTGGTCCTGGTTTTCTCCATCCTAAATGAGTGAGCACCATCTCTGGATTCAGCTCTGCTGGATCCAAGTCCTCTGAATGACTGATGCTAATTGATATTTGGGAGTGGGGCCCCCCATTAGGTACAAATATGGAGTCTCTTCCAGGTCTCCTTGTCATCAAGAAATCCAGTGGTGCCTGTTCATCCCCTCTGCTAAGCTACCATCTCTCTGTCCTTCTGGCCAGCTAGGTCACCTGAATATCTCCCATACCCTGCACACTGTTGCAGGTGCCCATTACTCTGCCTCCCTCCTCCCAGTGTCCATGGGGCAGAAGTGGTGCCACCAGATATGTTTCACAGAAGCGCTCTGCTTCTTCCCTTGAACTACAAATGTGAGGCGGAACCACTAAATCTTTCATCTTTTCATGTCTCTTACAATAGCCTATGTCTTCCATGAGTGTCAAGCTACATTGCTGCACACAGATCTGAAAAAAAAAAATTAGCCTGCCAGGTAAGGGAGGTTCTGCCAGGTCCCACCCAGAAGGAGATCCTGCAAGTAGCAGCACATTCTCTGCTCCCTGTGCCTCACCAGTGAGCACGCTAAGAGCACTCACTCTGTTCTGTGGCAGCCTGAGTTCTCCTGCACTGTCTCATTCGATGCTCAAGACAACATCTGCTCCAGCCCCTTGTGCCCATGGAGCTCAATGTTGCTTTGATGCCTCATGACATGTTGCTATAGTCACCTTTCTTCTGCTGTCCCCTCCAGCAGATAGAAAATCATCAGGCTAATAAACTACCAAGGAACCCATAGGTATGGCCTCGAAAGCAATGTGTCCCTAGAAGTAGAATCCCTGCAGATTAAAATTGCAAGAATGGCCAGCAGTAGCCAAAATGTCAATCTGACATCATGTTTTGGAAAGAATTAGTAACTCAGCTGGGAACAACCTCCACCCATCCTGTCCTTAGGCAAGCCAAAGTCCCCATGGGAGACCCCCGATGGGGTGTTTGCTCCTAATGGCTCTAAGAAAGTGGTAAGGCAAAGTGTGTGCGGACTTAATGCAGAATTCAGATAAAGGGGGAAATTCAGCTGAGATGCAAACCACTTGCAAATGCTGGGAATGTAGGAGAAGACATTTAACACTGTTGGAATAGAGCAAAGGCTTCTGGGAACTGAAAAGCTGGATTTTCTGGTAGGCAGTGAGGAACTTGTGAAAGCAACAATGGGAGGCAAAGGGGCTGAAAGGATGGGGAAAGGACAATGTTTCTTGGCATTTCAATGAAGAGTAGGAGGGTAAAATGAGGGGAAGCCCAAGGAGAATTTGGGGGCTGTATATCTATGTGTTTGCTTGTTGAGTGGAGAAGAAGAATATGTCATGAGTGGGATAGAGCAACAGCCAGGGTGAGTGGTGGAAAAGCCCTGTGTCCACACCAGGTTGTTCGTGCTCATGGAACCGGGCAGCAGAAAGCAGTGGTTTCCTCTTCCTTTGGGCAAATGTTTATTTTAGGGCCACCTTGCCAGATGGTGGTCACAGACACAAAGCAGGTATATCCTTCCTTTCTTCTGCACACCCAGAGCTGATGTAAACAGCTAGCAAGATAGTCCCAGGCACAATGGCAGTTTCTCCAGCTTGGGGTGTGCAGCACCCCCTCCCCAAGGAAAACCAGAGCTTGTGGCTGGATGGACCTTTAGCTGACCTCATCTGAGAGTCCTCATAACGTTGGTAAAGATTATATCAGACTTGACCTGAATTAGAAGTGCACATAACAAATTTGGCATTCTTAATTTTACTCACTGGACTTCTAAACATGTTAGAATGAAGCAGAGTTAGGTTTTCTTTTGTCTTTGTAGGGCAGTCCCCCTCCCCTTCAGAATGAAGGTTCGTGGATATTCTGCCCTCCTGTGGAGAAAAGAATTAGGGCTAGACGTAAAACAGGACTTTAGGGAGGAATATTCCTCATATCTTGAATTCCTGCCATTAGCTAGGTGACAGAGAGTCCAAAGAGACTTTGCCAGAGAGTCAGAACAACTCCTCTACTAGAGCAGGAACAAGTCCTACATCCTAGGCTATATCTATATTTTGTCCAATGACTGCATGTAAAATCCTGTACTTTGCTTAAAATTCAAGACAAAAGTTCTGTTTTCAATTTTTAAAAATTAAAAGAAATCTCTTTGAAAGCAGAAGACAATTCATTGGGCTGAACAATACATTCAGCTCTGGGGTAAGGATTTTTTTAGGCAAGAAAATCCAAGAGCTTTCATTTAAAAAAAAAATCTGTTTCATCTGTTTCTTTTGATTTGTCATCATCTAACTTAAACATATATTTGTAAAGCTGTCAGTGGGAAATCAAACATGTTGCCTTATTAGTTTGTTTTGCCCTTCAGAAATTAGCAAAAACATGCTCCTGAGCCTTTTACAA